TGACTGCATCAATGGATCAATCCTCTGTTCTGTGTAGTGCCAGCTTGTTCCAATCATATCCTAAAATACCCATTTCTAAAGGTATAAGGCTTTGTGGGAAACATTTCAGATGTAAACCATAACATTCTGTCTCTAGGGTACAAAAGGCTCACATCCATCTCATTATATAAAATCCATTCAGTCAATCTTTAAGTTACCAAAATCTTACAGTTTCAGCAGAACTGAAAAGTTGAAGTCCAAAATCTCCTCTGAGACACAAGTCAAACTCTTAGCTGTGAGCCCCTATAAAAATCAAAAAGAGGCCCAAGGATACATCTCAGCAGGCAGAAGTGCCTGCCTGGCAAGCACAAGGTCCTGAGTTCTAGTCCCTGTACCCAAAAAAAAAAAAAAAATCAGAAAGAAAGTCAAGTACTTCTAAGATACAATGACACAAGGTAAACATTCCCATTCCAAAGGGAGAAATAGGGAGATAGAAATTGGAACAAAGTAAGTCCAAGAACTATCAGGCCAAACATAAAATCCTATAGTTCCATATCCAGCACCTGAGACAAATTGTGAACTTTGAGCTCCAAAGAGCTTGTGCAATCCTACCTCTATGGCTTTGCCATTTTCAGGCCATGCAGCCTCTCTGCTGGGCTGGTTCTACTTACTGACTACAGCTCTCCTTGGCAGATTCTCCATATTCTTGGCTTCTCCAACTTCTTGAGTTCTCCACTGAGCTTTTGGCTTCACTCACATAACTTCATGAATTACAGACGTTTTTCCTTTAATAATGGAGTTCAATTCCTGTGACTAAGTGGTCAATGAATTTGTCACTAAATGAGGAATTGTATACAGTATGTACAGTATAATATTCAGAACAAAGAAATGGCCAAAGGGAACTCCAACTTGATGACTTTGTTTTTATTTGTATAACTCTTAAATTCAGTATTATATTGTATAACAGAACATAAAATTGCAGTACTGTACTATATGGTACAATCAGCAAAATTAGAGTACTGTGTAACTAGGTGTACTGTAAATGAGGACTTTGAAGCTCTATAAACAAAATGTATAGAACTACATGCAAAAGAAAGGTGAATTGCAAGTGTGAATGGTGCACTTCAGTCATAGTCTAAACAATCATTAAACAGGAAGGTTATTAAATGAGGGATACCTGTACTTTCTCAGGGGTACATTGCCTAGCCTCCAAAGGCTTCCTTTGAAATTTGATTGGAAACCTCTATGACCCCATAACTCTCATTTTGCATGGCCAAAAAACCAACAGCATGCAAATTATACCAAGGTCTGCCAGTAGCTTTCACAGTAGCCCAGTTACCTTGAGACATTACTGTAGCAGTCCATTCACTAGGGAACCCTGGGCTGTCTTCTCAAAGCAAACTCCTTTGTGGGCATTTACCCTTTTACACCCTTTAGCCTGTGATGGATGGGGATTTGCTGATTCTAGAGATGCTCTTGAGGCATCTTTCTCTTGACCCTGTGCCAAATAGTGGATTCCTTTTTAATGATATTGGTCTCTTCATCAGCCATAAATCATTTGGTCCTAATTTATGCATGGTTCCTTCTGAGCCCAAATTTAATATTTTCAAAATTTTCCACTTTATTTCTTGTCCCCAATCTTCATTATACATCCAGTCAAATGCACCTGTCACTACCCATGCCGCAGCCTGAATGTTGGGCTATTTTAAAATTTCCTCTACTAGATCAATCAGCCCATTGCTGTTATTGTTACTCTCCTAAAGTCTCAGGACATGAGCAAAATGAAGACAAACTTTCTACCATAGTGTAATACACACAGACTCTAGTCCAACTGCTAATGAAGTTTGCAACTGAAACTTCCTGATGCTGATCTTTCTGTCTGTACTATCAACATTCTGGTCTCCTGAGTTCTGACCAGAATCATACCTCAGGTTATACTTACATTAATCTGTGGCTTCTTTAGCCCACATTTCCAAATTTTTCCAACTCCTTCTATAAACCAGTTCCAAAGTTTTCTAAACCACATGGTCAAGTATAATCAAAGCAGTAACTCCACTTCTCCAGTGTCAATTTTCTGTATTAGTTTTCCTGTCACTCAGACAAAATGCCTGATACCCACAAATTAAAGGAGGAAAGGTTTAATTTGGCTCATGGTTTGAGTTATTTAGTCCATGATCAGTTGGCTCCAAGGTTGTGATTGCATGACAGATTGCATGGCTTGGCAGAAGAAAGCTGCTCATCCCATCTCATGAAATGAGAGACAGCAAGAGAGTGAGAGGGAGAGACACAGAAAGAGAGTGGCAGGGGGTGGGGGAGAAAGAGAGAAAGAGAGAAAGAAAGAAAGAGAAGAGAGGGATACATATACCCTTCAAAGACAGGCCCCAAGTTACATACTTCTTTTAACCAGGTCCCACTTCTTAACAGCAAATTTATCCATGAACTCATCATTGGCTAAACACACTGATGAGTATAACATCCTCTGGTCTGGTCATATCCCCCAAAGCCCTTCCTCCAAACATAAAACTTTGGGAAACATTCTGATTTAAACCATAACAGGTTCATTTTAGTTCATGGTTTTAGAGGCTTAGTCCATGGTTGGCTGGCTCCAAGGGAGATACATCATGGTGGAAGGGCATGTAGCAAGGAAACTGCTTAACCTATGGCAGCCAGGAAGCAGAGAGAAAAGTATAGAGTCAGGGAAAAGAACCATCCCAGATGATGCATCCAGTGACCTACCCGTCCATCCATCCAGGTCCCACTTGCTAACAGAACATAATGAAACTGAAATTTCCTGATACTGGTCTTTCTGTTTGTACTATCAACATTCTGGTCTTCTGAGTTCTGATCAGAATCATATCTCAGGTTATACTTACATTATTCTGCGGGTTTCTTTAGCCCACATTTCCAAATTTTTCCAGACTCCTTCTATAAACCAGTTCCAAATTTTCTAAACCACATGGTCAAGTATAATCAAAGGAATAACCTCACTTCTCCAGTACCAATTCGTTGATGGGTTAATGATTAGTATAGCACCCCTGTGATGTAGTCACATTTCAAAAGCCCTATCTCTGAAGACCTGAGATTTTGTAGAGGGCATTTTAAATCTAAATCATAACATAAAATGTTGAAAATATTTTTAAACATTTATCTGCATACAATACATGCATTTCTTAAGTATTGCAGATTCTGTATTTAGAGACAGTTGTAAAGCCTTTTGATAACGTCCTAGGAAAGTTCAGAAATGTTAGAAAAATATTGTAGTGGGAATTTAAATGCCTTATTTGCTTAGGTCCTCTTGGTATCAAATACATTCCTTTTATTGAAGATCTGAAAGAACAAAGTTATTGTATGACTATTAAGAATAATTCATGTGAAAGTTATTAAATATTGAAATTTTTCATTCTTTCTCAAAGAAAGGATTAATTAAAAGTAATTTTTCTTTTGTCTGTAGAAAAAATATTTTATCATCTAAATTGTTCATTTCCTCCCATAAACTTAAAAAACTAACAATTTAAACATTTTTTTGTTATAAAAACAGACTATCTGAGAAAATTATAGATAGTGAATACATATCATTTATAATGTTATAATTTAGATCTTGTCAGTTAACATTTTGGCATATGTCTGTTTTACCTTTCCTATGTGTATATATATTATTTAAAAACAATTTTATTACATTATACATCATATATTCTGTGTATATAGTTTAGATTTTCTGCTTTTATCACTTTCATGATGTTTATCCTGTGATACAAAATGTGTGTCAGAGGATGCATTAAATATACTCCAAATTCTTTATATAAATGGTTCCTAATATTATGTCCTATGGGCTTACTCTAAGTTATTTAAATTGTTGTTCTACTTTCTATATTTCTGATGAGCAGAGATAATTAAAGGCTACACATTAAATATATAAAATAAGACATCTAATATTTTCTTTTTTTTCCCTTTCTTTCTTAGTCTAGCAGAATTTCCAACTTTTCCAATTGGATGACTAGATTTGACATCTTCTAACACCCACACCATTGCTGATGGCAACAAATACACAATTTGGGTTTAAAGGAAGGTTATACAGAAAGTATAGTGAGACAGACAATGTGCCTTCATCGGGTTATTGTCCTTATATTTAAAAATATTGGTATCATGGACTATATATAAATCAATTTTAATCAATAGTTGATTCCTTATAATTTCACTTTATTACATAACTATAATGCACAGGGAGGGATGGAGGGTTTCTGTAAAGAAGAAAATGGGTGAATATGGAATTGTTTTCTAAATTAAATGTCAGTACTAGAGATAATTTTTGAAGCTCTAATAAGGAACATGCAATATCAATAAAAGGAAATAAAAAATTTGCACAATGAATCATATCTGTGATGAGCATATTTTGGGCAACCAGACCAGGCCTGCTTGAATTACTTACCATTTGGCTCTATTATTATTGAGTGAAGAGTAAATAAATGGGCCGAAGGCTTTTCCTGATAGGATCAACTTTTTTCTTGATTTTACGCTCATAAATAGTTCTGACTTCCTTGATAAAGGTGGCTGGAAAATCTACTTTTGAGTAAAACTATTCAAGAAAACAATCTTGCTCCTAGTTTAAATCTGAAAGGAAGCGTTTATCAGTTTCTTATGAAAATGTAATGGAACTTGTGATACAAAGTGAAATATTGGATGAACTTATGGCAGGTTGTCTTTAATGACAGCTAGGGATAAAAATACCTAATTCCACAGACCATTTACCTAAAGCTATTAAATTAAATTTCCTAAGTACCTTGCATGTTCAACTCTACATTTAAAGCAAGTGGCGTTCTACTTCAGGGAAATGAAACCACTTATGGTCATAAAATAATAAATCTAGATTGGCCTTTCAATAAAGGGGTGAGTATGCCAAAAATCTGAAGGGCATTACTGTAAATAAAAATCTTTACTAAGTACTACAGAGTGCAAATTGATTTTAAAGCTTGTCATTCTTGCTGGCACATGATAAAATTCAATAATGATAATCAATGTTAAAGTGCTTCCTAGGAATGAGGATGTCCTGAAGCAGTACAGAACTCTAGTGCTGCGTGGCTCGGTGCCATGCATGAGGATTGCCTGTTGCATTAAACTAATGAGCTGTCTCAGTTGGAGAACTGTGCCAAGGAGACCAAAGTACAAGGGCCAAAGGTCAGTAGTTAACTGCTAATGTTATTTGTTCTCTCCTCAGAGGCTCTGCTAAATCCAGTGACGACTCTGTGATAGTTCATCTTGATTGCCACCTTGGTTGGAGATGGAGACATCTAGAGAGGTGGCTGGATAGTGAGGGTGCCTGTCTCAGTGGACTCACTCACTGATGAGTGCATAGCTGAATGGGCTATGCAGAACGGGGCCTGATTGGAGGAAGTGGGTCATGGTGGGCGTATCCACTTTTCTTGGGCTCTTTCCTTTTCCTCTGCTTCCTGGCTGACGTGGTGAGCAGCTTTCCTCCACTACCCTCTTCTACTATGATGTTTCTGCCTTGGAGCCAGCTAACCATGAACCAAAACCTCTGAAACTATGAGTCAAACTAGATCTTCCCTTCTGTGAGTTGTTTTCCTCAGGTATTTGTTCACTGGGATCACAAACCAACACAGACTCTTTATTTACAAAAGGATTTTACCTAAGTCAGTAAGCTAATGTTTGTTCCCTGTGAAGTACTTGGACAAGAAGGGCTGGTTCTAAGAAAAATTGCTTATGTAGCAAGAGATGAAATTAGCAAGGCTCCCTTTTTTTTATTTTAACCCCTCCATACTCCATATTTCTTTCTGGCTTTTTAGAGTTTTGCTGTCTGTCTTTGCTGTCCTTTTCTCATTGCTGACACAAAATTCCTGATACTCAGAAGTTAAAGGAGAAAAGGTTATTTTAGCCCACATTTTGTACAGGATTCAGTCCATAGTCAGTCTCTCCCATTCAGGCTAGAAGCCTTTTGGGAGGTGCTGTCCACACGGTGGAGGAGGGAGGTTGGTTTTCAGTAAATCCATTCAGCCACACCCGGAACTATGCTAATTCTAATCTGTGTAATTATGTAGTACCACACATGCTTAATCCCAGCACTACACAACCTAAATCCAGCCAGCTTCCAAAACCCTACCTCTGAGTGCATGAGGCTTTGGGGGGAATGTATCAGTTAGGGTTTTACTGAAGAGACAGATATAACACCAGATGTACAAATGTATAAGAAATTACAAGATTGGCTTATGACGGTCAGCCAGAGAGTTGTATGAGGAAGCGTGCAGAGAGTGTCTGCCCACTGAAGGCCGAAGGAATCAGTCCAGGGCCTGGAGTTCACTGCAGAGTTCAATGCAAGTCTGTACCAGGAGGTCAATGAGTCTGCGACGGAAGGCTGAAAGATCCGAGGTAGAAGCCGAAGAGTTTGCACTAGAAGCCAGGAGACGAAGTCCAAGCTGAAGGTGAAGACTGGAGAGCCTCCAAAAGGAATGGAAGTTCCTCTGTCCTTCCTCATTTCCCTTTTATATTATCTAGGTGATGATCTATCCTAGGGTGGCTCTTCTATACCCTAGAGTGGCTCCTCTACACCCTAGAGAAGTGTAGAATTGCTGAACTAGTCACTGAGCCAAGTTTAGTTATGCTTCTAAACTTCTGTAGTTGACATAATCAATCAACCACTACAGGGAACATTTCCTTAAGTCTCTCTCTTTTTTTTTTTTTTTAATCTTTTTGAGAGAGGGTCTCGCTATGCAGCTCAGGCTAGCCTTGAGCTCACTTTGTAGCCCAGGCTGGTTGCGAATTTGAAATGATTCTCCTGCCTCAGACTGCTGAGTGCTGGGATTACAGGTGTTCACCACCACGCCCGGCTTTCGGGGGGACATCTCGATACGAGCAACAACACTATTCTATGATGACCCAGGTATAGATTTTTTTCCCCACATTACTCGAGATGGAACCCAGGGCTTTGTGCACACTAGGCAGGGGCTATATCACTGAGCTACATCCACATCCACTACCCCCTTTTTTGGAGCAAGTCCTGCTGCTTAGGCTGGGTTCAAACTCCTAGGACGAAAGGATCCTTTTGTTTCAGCGTTCCAGACCTGTGCACCACCAACCCCATGTTTGACCTTACTTTCATATCTGTCTGCGATACAATTGCAAAGTTCTGCAGTGCAGCAAGGATAGAAACAGAGGACACAGAAGATTTTTTTTGCATTAAATGTTTATTCTTTCTGATAAAATTAACACTTTATGATTGTCTTCCTTTGCTCTGCCTGACATAACAAAGTAGCACCAGCTGGGTGGCTTAGACAATTGAAATCTGTTTCCTCACAGTACAGTTGTAGAGGCTGAGAGTGTATGGTCACCACGCCTGCAGGTTTGGTTTCCTCAGAAGCCTCTCTTTTTTGCTTGTCAGGGATGCTGTCTTATGGCCTCAAATGACATTTTCTCAGTGTGGAGAAAGATATCTCTGTGTTTCTCCCTCGTTTTACAAGGGCAATTAGATGAGGGACCTACCATTATGATGTTTTTAACCTCACTTACCCCACTGAGGTAAGATATTAAGGCTTTATCTCTTGATACAATCACATTAGGGGTCTGGCCTTAGGGCTGTGCATGGTAGTGGTGGTTGTGTGGCAATTCAACCCATAACACTGTTCAAGCAGGAAGCATGATACATGAGCATGTAGCAACACAGAATTTCCCCAAATGTTTTTCTCCATATCCGTAGGCCAAATTCCAGGACTTTAGTGAAGATTTATTCTGCTGAAGATGGAAAAATAAAAAGTCTACCATAGAAGAAACCTTATAAAAGTGAAGTAAGACCTAATTTATTTCTCTTCTATTTATTCATTTATAAGTAATACTTCTTCATTTCTGTGCTCAACTGTTTCTCATCGCTGTGCATAGATGAACATTCATTCTGGCTGGCCAGGACAGTAGATTCAGTAATGCTTGTTGTCCTGACTAATTTGAATAGTGTCTCCCATTTCTTCCAATGTTTAGATGATATGGACATCCTGCCTACATAGGAGTTTACCAGGTTTAAACTATTTTTTTTTAAAATAATATCTCTCCTAAGATAGTTTATTTTCATTTTCCTCTCCAAGTGAATGCTCCAATATACCTCTCATCTCCCTTACTGTTTTCCTCTACTCTTCCCCGTGTTGTTACTCCTGCCCTCTCTTCTGTTTGTATTTGTGCATTTTCTTTCCTTTATGTTCTTGTCCTGTGTGTATCTCCCTGTATAATCAGTCTCCATGAAGCCTTGCCTGCTGCCAAGGAATTGAAATCCTGCATGTCTGTTAATTCCAGTTACAATTTCTTAATCAATGCTAGAAATTTGAGAAGGTGAAATTAGGAGGCATATAACTCTTCACCAGATCTTAGAAAGTATGGTGCTAATTATATAGCTTTACTTACTACTGAGAAACATCCGCACTTAGCTCCTATGGTAGAAGCTAAGCTGATTAGTGCACAGGGCTAGCGGAACTGACAGCATTATCTCTTTCCCCCGAGCTGCCCATTGTCCTAGCCTTATCGCTAGCCAAGGCCCACATCTGTGATCATCCCTCCTTCTCATCAACTAATCATGATGCTTATTTTTGGCTGCAGAGCCTTGGGTGAGAAAGAGGTTGGGTCTTCTCCTGCTACGTGCAAAACAACTTAGAGTGTGCACTGGGGAGAGGAGTGAGGGCTCAGCAGGACGATCTTATCTTAAGGTCAGCACATTATTAAATATTCTCCATAGGGAGGTGATTGGATTAAATAATTAGTGGATGCGAGCTTCTTTAGACTGCTAATTATTATGCTTTGTGGGTCTCCTCTGCAAATGATCCACAGTCTGTGAACCTGTTCCAGGCATGAGGAGCAGGACGATTCTCTGTCTCACTTATCTCTACTCTCCATGAGTGTTTATAATTACATAATGGATGGGTTTTTGACATTTTACAGCATTTACAAATGTAATCTACCATTGTAACTCCTCAAACTTTGGTACCTAAGAAAAGCAGAATACGATAGCCCAGGAAACCTGTTTTTTTCTTTTGAGAAAAGGAAGATTAAAACTACTAGATTAGCAAACACTGTAACATTAATCATGTATCACCAAAGCCACATAGATACTGTGACTTTGTGCCGTACAGGAGAAAAAAATAAGAAAACCAAAGCAGCACCCTAAAAAGTAAAGCTCAACTACTGCTGATAAGTGTTATGGGCTACTTATCCCGAAAGTTCAATTTATTCTCCTGTTGTAGAGTGGAGATTTGAGAGGTAGAGAAGTAATTATTCCTGTCCCTGGAATATCAGGCTGTAGCTCATTAAGGAATTATTGCCAGCTCTAGAGATGATTTAAGAGGCTATCTGACATGTTCAGTATGTAAAATGGAATAACCCATAGTCAATCATGTCGGTACAGTTTCCCATAGATTTTTAAATAACGTATCTTTGTTAATGAGCTTGCTGTGTTCAGCAGCCACACCTATCCTCTGTAAACCACAAGGAAATGTAATAAAATTTAATACATAGGACTCATTTCAAAGTGGGTGTGGAATTAATTAAATGCCCTGGACACTATCATTTATGCATAAAGCTCTCTTGGCATGTTAGGGGCAGAGGTGACTGTGAAATTAGAAGTCAGTATGGCCGGGAGTGATCATCAGATGCTGTTTGTTACCACCTTATGGGGTGGATCAAGGTCCATCAGTAGGGATCAAGTTCTCCCATAAAGGTATTCTAAACTATTTGTCTAAAGTAGAGATCTACTCATGTGAAGGGAACAGGATTTCTGGAAACAAACTTTACCTCTGCTCCCTCAGGCCCTGGTTGTGGAATCCATTCTTTCTGTGTGATATGGAAAGAGCAGAAGAGGACAGCGAAGGGAGGATTGACTGTGTGGTGGTTCCAGCCCAGTGAAGGTCTGACTGTGTGTGGTCTCCGCTCTGTGGAAGGGCAAGGGAAGGAGGATGGCTGATAAGGAGCTAGAGAAGAAAGAACAGCCCACTCCTGCCCAGACCCTGGGAGAAGGCCCGAGCCCGGGAAGGAGCAGCTGCAGCAACTTGGAGCCAGCCCAGCGACCGAAGGCCGGGAATCCGAATCCACGTTTACTCAGTCACCAGGGGCCCAACATCTTGGGGACAGCTATGTCTTTTGGCAGATTTACTTTTCTTGGGCCTCAGTTTGTCTGTACAATGAGGATACTAATGATGAGCATGAAGTTTAAAGTGTTTATACACGGGCTGTTGTAAATACTATACAAATGTGGGTTACAGAAAGCTTTCTTGGGTGTACTGGTGAGTGAGCCCGGGGCCGACACACTGAGCTGCATCTCTGCCCTGCCTCTTTTTTACTGTTTTATTTTGAGACAGGACCTCACTAAATTGCTAAGTTGCCCAGGCCAAACTCAAACGCTTGATCTCCTACCTCAGCTTCCCGGAGTGTGAGAATTAGAGAATTATGCTACTAGGCCTGGCTATATAATACTAAAATTACTGCTATTAAAATGAAATTACTGGGCCAGGGATATAGCTCAGCAGCACAGTGCCTGCCTGACAAGTGAGGTCCTCAGTTCGATTCCCAGCACCAAAAAAAGAAAGAAAAAAGAAATTGCTATTATTCAATTAAAAATTTAAAAAAATTGCTAATAGTAAAACCCTTAGACGATAGATAAGCTCTAGTTTCTAATGAACAACTGTGAGAAATTAATTGTGGCAACTGTTAGGTAACTATTTCCAAATTAACTCTTAGGGAAGTTAGGGGATATAGGAGGGAGAAAACAGGCCCTTAGAGATCAAACGGCTGAATTGACATTAGGACCCTGATGTCAATATATTTGAGATTGAACTTCTTTTCTGTACCAGACTTTCTTTTTCTCCCATGAAATTTCTTTCACTCAGTGCCACCAACATTACCAGTAAGCTGAGACACCCCCTCTTTTCTCCTTTAGTACAGCTTGCCAGGTGATGAGGATCTCATGGGGACCTTTGAAGCCTATCTCCCCCCACCCAGTCTTCCTGTGAGTGTCACCTGGCCCTTCTGGTCTGCATTTTGAATAATGAAGTGATCTGATGATCTTAAAGCAGTACTCCTAGGATTGTGTTTCTCTCCTATCTGGAAAACTTTCACAGGCTCTCGATTTTTGGTAAAATACAATTAATCTATCTTTGCAGGGAACTCTAGACTTTTCCCAGTATAAATTTAGCTTAACTTTAGAGCTTTATTATGTACCTTGCCACCAAAGTAAGCCAAATTCATCTCCCATTGTAGCCACCTCCTGCATTCCTAACTTGTTCAGCCTCTATTACTGAATTCCAAATTTGACTTCTCCAAATTCTTCTCTCTGGTCCCTGATCTTTCATAGCACACATCTCCTTTAAGACGCTGTGGACACTTGAGCTTACCCTACGTGACAACAGTGGGTACAGTGATGTGGCTGGCAGTTCATCATCACACCTTGCGCCCAGGACCACATTGACCTTGCCCGATTTTATTTTTAATATTCTCCACTGTCCTTAAATGCACCTCCTTAAACTTAATAGACAATCAAATAAGTGTGACTAAACTAATAACAAGCACATGCTACTAATAAACTCTATGATCCAGGAAATCTCACTTTTGGCTTGAGTATGTTTTATTTGTAAAAGGTTTAAAGGACAATCTTGATATGTTTTTCTATAAAGTTTACAAATCTAAAGCATTCCGTGTCTTACAAAGAAAGACTACAGCTTATTCTAAAATGTACAAAGATATTGTATAGAAGTAAGCATTAAAAAAATCTCTTACTGTAACTACTGTTTCCATTTCCCCAGCTCCACACTTTGTTGGACCTCCCTGACAATGTTAGTATTTTAACTACAAATGCTATTATTGTTAGAAAACTAAATAATAAAAAGCCTTTTCTTAAACAGAGAAATATAGGATTTTCAGTGGCTAGTAGGTGAAAAGAATCTGTTCCAAGGCTTTGTGATCTGACAAATTTTCCCAAAACTTAAGGTTGTTTCATTTGCAAAGAAGTGGGGGGGCATCATACACTTTCATTCTGATTTTAAGTTAGTTGAGTAGTGTTGTGGTTCTCGTCTCTCAAAATTATTACTGTTTTCATTGTTTACTGCCACTGCTTTGTTATGGCTCCATTCTGTCTCCTGTAGGGATGCCCTTGCTCACCACGTCTGGGACTCACCCTGGACTTAGATGATACCTCTGAAAGAATATTCCATGTCTGTTTGATGGGTATTTATCCTTAAGCACACAGGAGGGATGTTGTGTACAGATTTGTAGAGTAACCAGAACTAGAACACAGGATACTTTCTACTGGTATTTTGCTGTTTTTAGAGAATGTCATGAAGGAGTTGTTACTCTGTTCATCATTCAGTTAAATCAATAGGTGCATGTATTGGAATTCTTGACTTGGGTACAAAAGTTTCATAATATTTTACTTGGCATTTCACTCAAGATTTCAATTTAAAAGTTTTCTTATCCAATAATGAGCAAAATAATTCCAGTGTTCATCTTGCTTTTTTACTTGAGCAAGACAATACGAATTTCTGTATTAGGTCAGTAGCAAGGCTGGTGTTTTGAGGCTGTTTTTATCTTGTGCCTTGATGTTTCACACACCTGGGACTCTGTGTGTAAGAAGTTCTATGTCTCATCATGAAAGTGTTGTCATTGAGAATTCTCGTTCCTTTGAAGATTAGAATAATTCTATATTCAGCCCATATTTGCTTCTATGCTTTACTTTTTGTTTCAAGAACAATTCTCTTCTAGTTATAATTTTAATGGTATTTTGCTATGTTTGCAATTTGGGAACACATGCGTTAGATACATTTTAACATACAGAGAAGAGAAAAGGTTTACAGGTTTATCCTGTGACAATTATTTCTTAAATTATTATATATTCATAATCTTTTCAGACCCCAACTCATTGACCCTGTGTAATATATTCAATAACGTGAGAAATAGTGATGCGGCTAGCAGTTGTCATGTTTCAAACTAGGTGAGTCCGGCTCAGCAGCATGTAAAGGGCTCTACTCAGTGGTAGACTTGTACGAAATAACTGTGTACGCTATCATTATTTTTGTATATTGAGTCTCTCATGTACCTTAATAATGTTTCTGGCAAATTTCTTGGCCTTTCCCATCAATTTAAAGTACAAAACAGTCTCAATTTCAGTGTGAAGATGACCTGTCTAATCCAAACAAAAGCTTCTTTTCTCCCACTCACCCTGGTTTCCTGGATTTCATAACCTGCCGCAGTCATTGATGGGGACGAGGCGTGGTCCATGTCTTCACTGATTTTGTTATGTTTCCTCCACTTGTTAGCTGTTGCTTTGGCTCCTCTGTGCTCAGGAGAAGGAACTAGAAAAAGAACGAAGTCCTCCTTGATGGCTGCTGTTTGAGTCTGGCATTGAGGCCACCACTTTGGCAGATATTCTAGTGCTGGTTCTTCCTCACAAAGGAATTGCTAGTGTTTATAGACTCTTTCTTACTGCCCCCTACCCAGGGACCTCTAGCCTTATGCCTGAGAAGTCGATGATATACTTTAGGGCTGGCCTGAATGGACATCTGTCCTGCTCCTTGGAGTTTGCTCTGGGTATCCTTACCATGGAGACAGTTGTCCTCAGTGGGGTCCTTTTCGGATGTCAAGCTTGGATACTTTTGTCTAGTCCTAAAGAAAACTTTAGCATCTTTGTCTTTTATCTGAAACATGGGCATGCAGCATGTACCACTGGTGTTCTCTCTGTAGTATTTGCCATGCCAAACCTCTTGCAGGTGAGAGCCAAAGTGCTAGGCAATGCAGACACAAGGCCCAGGGAGAATTTGTTTCTTTATTCTGGCTCAGTACAGGTTAAACATCTCTTATCTGAAATGCTTGGGACTAGGCGTGGTTTGGATTTCAGATTTTTTTTCTGATTTTGGAATGTTTATGTTCACATAATGAGATATGTTGAGGATAGGATCCAAGTCCAGACATGAAATTCATTTGCCCTTCATGTACACCTTATAATATAGCCTGAAGTCACTGTAGTATGATGCTTTTAGTGCAACTGCTTTTTAACTGTCCCCTCATACAGGATCAGGTGTGAAATTTTCTACCATGGCATTATGTTGCCACTCAAAAAGCTTCGTATTTTGTAGCATTTCAGACTTTGGATTTTTTGATTTTAGGGGGCTCAGTGTGGTTCATAATATAGGGACCTACATGTTTGAATAGCTGGATAAGCATGGGAGCTGGGGAATAAAAATTGCGTAGAGTTGAAGATGTCCTTCTATCCCTCTCAACTCATAGAGGTTCAGACACAATTATATAAGAGTAAAAAATAATGTGTTTAGCTACTTGTATTTATATTTAGTTAATTACTTTGGGTTTAGGCAAAGAAAAGCATTATTTCTATTAAACATTTTGAAATTAGCACAATATAAATATAAATATAGAAAGTATGAATATAAAAATATAAATATAAATATAAATATGTACAAAATCACCCTTAGTGCAGTAGTGGTAAATGCAGACTGTTGTAAATGTGAGGTACCGGCAACTCAGCTACTACTGTTGTCATAGACAATACAATATTTGGACACTTTAGACAATTTCTAAACAAATTTTAATAATATTCAACTTGCACAATAGTTGTGTCCCTAGCAAATTCTGTCCATTATTAAACCATGTCAGACTTTCACTGACAGTTACATTCGACTGAATTGTGTTGGTTGAATTTTCTTTCCATAACCCAGCTGGGGAGAAAATAAAGATGCTTAGGAGCATTTCAGCCTGACCAGAGGCAGAGGAGCCAGATTGTAGAAGGGAAGATGCTCTGTTCCAAAGAAGTGAAGAGGATGAGGAAAAACTGATGTCCAGCATGGGAAGAAACTAAGCTGCACTTTGGGGTTGAGCGTAGGGGGGGCCAAGTGAGAGGTGAGGCCTGCTAAGAGGAGGAATGCTGGTGCTTGGCTGGGACGCTGAGATAACTGGAAGAGATCAAGTCTTACAAAACTGAGGCCTAGCCTTGAATTAACACAATATCTAATTTAAATCCTAGGCAAGTGCTAAGATGTAGTCTGAAGAGAAATAATACCCTTCAGCATTTCTACAAAATTTCATGCCTAGCGTCCAGCATTCGGTGAGTATTTATGAGGCCTGTTAACCAAGGAGACCAAGGGAAAACACAGACGACGGAAGCAGACCCACCAGTGATAGAGCTATCAGACATAGATATTAAAACATATGATTAAGAAAATATAAAATTTGATTGAAGAATGGTGCCACACAAATATGCACACACATTCATGCTATGATCTTCATGTTCTTACTTCCTCCCAAATTCGTATGTTGAAACCTAACCTCTACATGACGATACTGAGAGATGGGCCCCTCAGAGATGGTGAAGCCACAGGACTCAGCACTTGTTAACTGAGATTCATCCCCTGTATAAAAGAAGCTGCAGGAATTTGCCCTCTGAGGATGCAGCTGCAAGGAACAATGAGCACAAGGCCTTCACCAGATACCATGTCTGCAGGCATGTTGATTTT